CATATTTGCACAGGATTGGGCAAGCCCAGATGTGACTCAAAGGGGACTGCAGGATTTATCCTTCATATACTGTAAAGCTGACTTAGGCCTCGGTCTGTTCTCTCCCTTGTCCTGAATGTAAAGGTATTATGGATAAATGGCCCTTTGTCGGGAGAGACACCTGTTTTGCCCTTCTCAGAGAACTGAAGCCTAAATTCAGTTGTGAGAATGGAAGAGTTTAACCCCTTGGGCTGGGTGTAAAGTTCAGTGGCGGGGCGGCACCTTTAGTGTGTATGAAGGCCCGGGTTCAATGCCCAACTAAACTGGTATCTAACATCAATTGTTTCAAAAATAGGAATGAGGGAAAGCTATCCAAGGCATTCCATGGGCTTGACGTAATGTGTTTTAGATGTTATAGCAAATGTTCTGAAGGAGGAGGAGAATATAATATGAAAGGAAAATTTCAGGCTACTTTTATTTACAAATACAAGCATAAGCCACTTCAGGATATCAATTGAATTTAACACTACACTAAGAACAATACATATTTTCTAAGTAATATAGTGCTGAGCAACATTAAAAATTTAACTACTGCTGTGCATAGTATAATTGGACCTGTATTGTGGAGTGAAAAGGCAGACTCATAATACTAGGTACTGTATGATTCCGTTTCTGAAGCTCAGCATGGGCAGCAGGAGCCAAGAATTCAGAATTGCTACCTTGGGAGTGAGGAGATCGGTGACACTCACCGGTAGGGGATTGGGAGGGCCCATTGTGGTGCTGGGGAGTTCATGACCTCAGTCAGAATGATGCTTAGTTGTAAAAGATGTAAAACCTCATTAAACTGTGTACCTAAGATTTATGCACGTTAGTGTAGGTTATCATACGAGGATGAAAAAAAAATGTTCTCAATGAGATAGATTCATGACAACTGTGTGTGAGAACTCTCTATCAAAAGGTGTTAAATTAATCAATTAATTATTTCTTTAAAGTAGAATTGGCAGGCCAGGCATGGGGTCTCATGCTTATGATCCTAGCACTTGGGAGGAAGACCAGGGATTTGACATCTCCCTCCTCTACATATGGAAGCCAGCCTTGTGTACAGGAGACCCTGTCTCAAAAAACAACAAAATAAACAAAAGGTAGATATTAGCAAGCTTTTCCTTGTCGAGGGGCAGCTGGGAAATCTTTTCAGTTCTGTGGGCTTCAGTGCCTGTCCTGATGTGAAAACAGACATACTCAATATGCAGATGAACTCATGAGGCTCTTTCTAGTTAAACAACTTAAAAACAAACTTGATTTAGTCTATAGGCCATGTTTTCACAAACCTGATAAAGAGAATTTTAAAAATAGTCTTTTAAATGAATGCAAAAAACGAAACAAAACAAAACAAAAAACCCAAACTTCTAAGGACATTCAACACAAATAAATGAGCTTAAAAAAAATATCCAGGGGCTGGAGAGATGGCTCAGCAGTTAAGAGCACTGGCTGTTCTTCCAGAAGGCCTGAGATCAATTCCCCGCAACCCCATGGTGGCTCTCAACCCATCTCTAGTGGGATCTGATGCCCTCTTCTGGCATAAAGGCATACATGTAGACAGAGCACTTATACACATAAAATAAATAAACAAATACATACATCTGTGTTTAAAAAAGTCTAGGTTAAAAAACATTCCAGGATTTGAGGGGTGGTTATTCATGTGTTACAGAGATTTCTCCTTAAGAATAATAAAATAAATCAGGTAGTGGTGGCACACACCTTTGATTCCAGCACTCAGGAAGCAGAGGCAGGGAGATCTCTGTGAGTGTAAGGCCAGCCTGGTCTACAGAGTGAGTTCCAGGACAGCCAGGGCTACACAGAGAAACCCTGTCTTGGGGTTGGGTGGGGGAGAATGATGAAATAGCTGGTTATGGTGGCTTTTAATTCCAGCATTTGGAAGGCAGAGGCAGCAAATCTCCACAAATTCTTGGCCATCCTGGCTACATATCAAGTTTTATGCCAGACTTCAAAGTGAGACTGTCTCAAAAGACTAAACAAACAAAAAGGAAAGTAATAAATTAAAAAGAAAGAAAAGAAAATTACAGATATATGTATTTTTTCATCCCTGGGATTCACATAGTGTAAAGAACTAATTCCTGCACGTTGTCATCGGATGTACACACACACACACACACACACACACACACACACACTCAAATAAATAAATGTTAAAAAATGTATAAATTAGGGCCTGGAGAGATGGCTCACTGGTTAAGAGCGCTGAGGGCTCAGGTTCAATTCCCAACATCTACATGGCATCTCACAACTGTCTTAACTTCAGTTCCAGGGTATCTGATGCCCTCTTCTGGCCTCCAAGGGCACCAGGCACTCACATGGTACACCAATACACATGCAGGCAAAATACTTGTACTCATAAAAATAAATAAATTAAAATTTAAAGATTATAAAAAGCATGTACTTATAGTGAGAACTCAAAATAACTATATATTTTTTTTAATTGTAAAGTCTGATGAACATGAAAAGTATTTTGAGGACTGAAGGTACAACTCCTTAGTTAAGATCATTTGCTCTTGCAGAGGACCCTCTAACTGCCTGACTCCATTACAGGGGCTCTGATGCCCTCTTCTGGCCTCTGCAGGCACTGCATGCAAATTGTGAGCATAAAAGCCGACAGGCACACACACATACATGCATGTAAATACAAATAAGTAAAATAAAAAGTGGGTTTTTTCTTCCAATTAGCTTCTTTTAAAAATTATTTATTTTATAAGCATGGGTGTTTTGCCTGCAGGTGTGTCCAGCTAGCTTCCCTGGGTTGTGAGCCACCATGTGGGTGCAGGGAATCTAAACCAGGTTCTCTGCAAGAAAAAGTGCTCTTAACTGCTGAGCCACCTCTTCAGCCCCTTACCAATTAACTCTTGATTTACCTCTGTCTGTGTACTTGATTCTCTATCTCCAATTCAGGAAGCACAGGAGAAGTTCTGGAATTCAGAAGTTGTCAGAGGGCATTCAGACAACTAGACACTAGGCAGTGAGTGACCTTAACCATTCACAGGTAAGCCACTCACTCATGACCTAGGGCTCCAGCTAGACATGCCTCCAACTCCAATTCCTGGAGCCCAGTACCTGTGGGCTCTCAGTGTTAGTTGCTATTCAGGCCTGTGTGACACCATGGAAAGAAAGACATCTTCAATGATTTCGGTGAAAACACCTGCCTTTCAATTTTACAATTGTATCCACTTACTCTAGGTTCCCAGAAACAAAGCAAGCCAACTTTTCATACTTACAGTGAAAGCCCCAAAGGTCCAAGAGATTAACTAAGATAGAGGGCCCAAGACCACAGAAGAAAACAAATGCCACAAAAGGCCTCCAAATAAAAAAGAAACACGGAATCTATGTTTGAGATGATTTCATCTTGGAAAGATATCTATTAACCCGAAATTAATTTCTACATTCAATTAAATTCCAGCAGGAATTTTGGGGAATTAAATTGATTATAAAATCTACATAGGAGAATGGAGAGCCACAAATAGCTAATCCAATTTCAAAGGAACAAAGAAACAGCATTTGGGCTGTGGATCTTCAAGATGATTACAAAGTCAAAGTAATAAAAGCAGTGTATTATTGTCAAAGGACTAGATAGGCAAGCTGAAGGAACAGGATAGGAGACCGGAAACAGATGTAGACATACATAAATAAACACATCTAATAAACAGAAACAAGGCTAAATAAACAAGGCCATGAAAGAAGTCGGCAGATGACAAAGACCAGTTCCAAGTACGGAGAAGGGTGAGATACCCCGTGAAGAGTCACAGAGAAAATGGCCCACTTCTTTGGAAATAAGTTAAACTGGGTCCATACTCTATTTAAAAAAAATCCAAATGATAAAGAATTAAATGTGAAGAGAAACATTATAAATACAAATATAGAAAAAATGAATTGAAAAGAACTCTGTACTTCAGAGTGAGTGTTTCCTTGGAAAGATTAAAAAAAAAATACGTGAAATCAAGGCACGAAATAAATGAATTTGATCGCTTCAACATTAATGGATTGCTGTAGAAGGAGATAAAAAAACAAACAATAAAACAAAAAACACAACCCCCCCCAAAACAAAACAAAACAAAACACTAGTGGAGCACAGCTGTGAAGCTTTTAATCCCAGCACTCTGGAAGCAGAAGCAGGTAAATCTCTGTGAGTTCAAGGCCAGCCTGGTTTAGATAGTAAGTTCCAGAACAGCTGGAGCTACATAGTGAGGCCCTGTCTCAAGAACAAACAAGCAAAAAACACACTGTACACAGTTAACAAGGGGTGATCAAGTGGGGAGAGATGTTTTTTTCAATCTTTAAGACTGACAAAGATTAATATCCAGCTTTTTTGGAGGGGTGGTGTTTGAGTCAGGTTCTCTCTGTAGCTTTGGAGCCTGTCCTGGCACTCTATAGGCCTGACTGGCCTTGAACTCATAGAGATCCACTTGCCTCTGCCTCCTGAGTGCTGGGATTAAAAGTGTGCACCACCACCACCACCACCATCTGGCCTCCCCCCTTTATTTTTAAAATGTGCAACTCAGAGATTCACAAAAAAACCAGCGGGGGGGGGGGGGGGGGGGGAAGGACGAGAAAGATTTAAAAAGGCCACTCACAGAAGCAGACATTTGAACAAATAACAATTATACAAAGACTTGCTCAATCTCTTTGATAGAGTTAAAACAAGAAGGTAGCGGGTTTTTTTTTTTTTTTTAAACTTCTTGTATTGGCAAACATTAGAAAACTGGAGTCCTATCAAGTGCTGATGAGGATCTGAGCTGGCTGGTGTCCTCCTTCAGGAACGGGAGGGTAAAACATGGCGATTGTGTGGCATGCACTAAACCCTGAGTTTGACACCATCCCTTACACTGGTGGCACATGAGTGTAATCCCAACACTCAGGAGGTGGAGGCAGGAGGATCAGAAGTTCAAGGTCAGCCTCGTATGGAGTTTGAGGCTAACAGCTACATGAGACCTTGCCCTAAAAATAGAAGACAAGTGCTGTTTTTTGCAGCCCAGGTGGTAAACATTGGAATAATACAGAGAAGATTAGTGAGGTCCTGGTGCAAGGATGACACATATCTGTGATGCTGCATTCCATATTTTTAAGCAAAAACAAACCCCAAAACAAAACAAACAAGACACAACTCTTATGTGTGATGAAATTCCAGGCTGCAGACAAAAGCAGTGAGCAGTTACTACATCTTCCTCCAGCAATAGGGAAGTTCTCTCAAGCAACCCAGAGGCAGAAACCGTCAGAGACAGAGTGGAACAGATAACATGAAACCATTTACGGACATTTCAAAAAAAATAAAAAACACAGGGGACATTATGCTTTTAAAGGTTGCCTGTGTGTCTAAAAAGCCAAACTCCAAGCAACAGGAAGAATGGCTTCCCTCTTCCAGTTTGACAACAGGCCACATTAGACAGGGCTATGTCAAAATGTCACAGGCTGGTTGCTTGTCATTTAGAACGCTTCTTACTGTGGATTCCTGCTTCTAACTTGGGGTGGGTGAAAAGCTTCTCGTGCAACTGGGCAGAGAGAGCCAGCAGAGGGTGTGATGTCTGATTTTAGAATGCACAGGCCATATCAGGTGTCCACATGTCAAAGCAGTTTCACCAAGATGTCACTTACCAGCCCACAAGTAAGTTAAAAGTCCCTGTTCTGGTAAGTCCTCTGGGCTGTGAGGGCTAATCTTATCTTCTCTGTGACAGCCATTTGCTCTGAGTCTCCATATGGCTGAAATGAGTAATTTTTAATGGGGGCATCAGTCATGGAGGACTGTCCGGGGTCCACGCTTATTGTCCTTATTTCCAGGCCTCTAGGACAAGCCTCAGTAGTCTAGGAGACCCTGATGGCCTCTCTCTATATATAATATAGCTGTCTCTGCATTTAAAAGCAAAAAAAAAAAGAACCCAAATGGTAAAATAAATCAGAATAAACCCCAAATTTTCTTAAAAGCTAAAGGATTGCTTAATAAAACAGAAGAGATCAGAAACAGTAAAAACGGACAGTTCTAGTGAAGAGATGAAAGCCCGTTTGGATGAGACCATAAAGGCTAAGCAAAGTCTTTTGTCTAAATTAAAAATAACAAAAGCCATAAAGTAAGGACGCCTGAGAAGCTGTGTGAAGCTTCTGGAGGCTCACACCGAAGAGAGGCCACCCAGAGCTGTAGGAGGGGGCCTGGGACAGGGAGATTTGTCTTTCTCTTAAGCTTTGGGCCTGTGCTGGACCCCAGGGGCCACGTCTAAGACAGCAGATCCAAAGGAGGCTCTCCCACCAGGGCTAAGAGTCTCAGCTCATTCACTCCCAGGGCTATGCTTCCTCAGCTCCTGGCTTTGCTCACGTGGTGTGCCAGTCTTCTCTCCACCTTCCTCCTTCCTGTGTTTGTTTCCTCAGCAGGATGGGGAGGACTCCCATCTTGGGGCTATAGGCCCACTTCTGTCATCTCCTCACTACTGTAGGATCTGGACAAATGGCAGAGTGGCAGCTTCCTTACCTCCCCCAGAGGTGCAACGCCCTGGAGCCAGTGGGCCTGGGGAACGCCAGCTAGGGTTGTTCTGTAACCAAGGCTCAGCTTAGGACCCTTCCTCTAGGAAGCTCCAGGGAAGCTTGAAGCCTGTCAGTCTTTCCCGACCCAGGTCCCTAGCTGGGCTCTGGATCACAGAGAGATTGTGCATCAATTAATCCTTTAGCTACAGTCTTAACAGCCAAGACATCTCGCTCCAGGCGCTGACGTGTGGAGGTCATCGGTCTACGATTAACCGATATCGATTAATTGGCAGATGGAAAGATCTTGTGTTACGTTTTCCTCTCTCCTAGGCTATAATGTGAGCTCTTTGGAAGGTACATCTCCTCTTCCCGCTCTCCCTTTTGCTTCAATTTGTTCTATCAGTCAAGAAACACTTGACTATTTTAGTTGAGAGAGAGAGAGAGAGAGAGAGAGAGAGAGAGAGAGAGAGACACCCTTAGCTCCAGGGAAACAAATAACCATTGTGAGACACCCTGAGGGCACTGGAAAAGCTGTGGATCAGAGGAGGAGATCTCCTCAGTTAGCCCGGCCCAGTGGGCATCTCTGGGGAGAGGACACCAAAATGTAAGTGCTAGGATCTGATCCTGGTCCTCATTGCACCCATGCACCTTGACCACAGAACCATCTTTCCAGTCCCTCACATATCCCAAGCAAATTACAGGGAAGGGCAGAAAGAGAAATGTATCCAGTATGCTTGCATTGGGGCAGGGGAAAGGACAAAATCATCCAATGAGTCCCTGAAGTCTATCTCTAGGGTCTGACATGAAGTTTGTAACACCGCCGATCACTGACTCATCATTGTCTCAGCTCTAGCATCTCCTGCAAGGTAGACTGATAGGTTGTAATTTTTTTTTTTTTTTTTAAATGGGAGACAGGTTCCCTCTCTGGCTAGGATCGGGCTTCATCCTTTATCTTCTTCCATCAGGAGATAACTGGGCAAATTCCAATTACTTGGGGGTACTTTTGTTTCAATAGAATATCTTCATGCCTGTCAGGATGATAAGGGATTAGGGGTAAGGGGACAGAAAATGTGTGTGTGTGTGGGGGGGGGTAGGGAGGAGGAAGAGAGAGAGATTTGAGAGGGAAGTCAAGGATGGAGAGAAGGCTCAGCTATTAAAGGCTAGGCTCACAACCAAAAATATAAAAGAGGGGAGGGGAGTCAGGTGAGAGGTCAAACAGGGCCCAGGAAGGTGTATGGATTTTAAGGGCAATGGGAAGGCCCTGGAGTATTTTAAGCAGAGAAATGAAGTGGTCCGCTTGACACTTTGGGAAATGCTTGTTAGAGGCAATAATGAATAACACTGTGAGGGGCTGGGGAGATGGCTCAGTTAGTAAAATACTCGGCATGAAAACATGGGGACCTGAGTTCAGATCCTCAGCATGTATGTAAGAGCTGGGCATGGTCAGGTGTAATCCTAGCATTGGGAAGCAGAGGCAGGGGGATCCCTGTGGCTCTCTAGTCAGCCAGTCTAGCTAAATAAGCAAGTTCTAGATACTGTGAGAGACTCCAATCTCCAAAAAAAAAAACAAAAACAAAAACAAACAAACAAAAAATGAGGTGGTAAAGGATTGGAATGGCGGTTCAGTGGGTAAGACCACTTTCTGTTTTGTCAGACAGGGTTTCTCTGTGCAGCCCTTGCTGTCCTGGAACTCACTCTGTAGACCAGGCTGGCCTCAAATTTAGAGCTCCATCTGCCTCTGCCTCCTGAGTGCTGGGATTAAAGGCACCTGGTTCACTTTCTGCTCTTGTAGAGAGCCTGAGTTCTGTTCCCAGCCCTCACATCCGGTGTGTTAAAACTGCCTGTGATTCCAAGTTCAGAGGGCCTGATGCAATCTTTGTGCCTCCACAGGCACCTTCTCTCATGTGCACACTCACATACACACACACATGTAATTTAAAAATAAAATGGGTGTAGCAGTGCACACCATTGATCTTAGCACTCGGGAGGCAGAGTTGGAGGCCAGCCTAGTCACATAGCAAGTTTCAGAATAGCCAAGGTTTCCTAGAGAAACCCTGAATCAAAACAACAAGAAATTAAAATATTTAAAAAAACAATAAGATGGAGAGTAACTGAGAAAGACATCTGATGGCAACAGACACACACACACACACACACACACACACACACACACACACACGTTCGTGCACACATGGGAACACGCACACAGGCATGTAACACTCTTGAGACTGTACATGCCCATGAATGTCCACATGCAGAAACATAGCCACAAAGTCTTAATAAAAACAAATAACGTTGAAGTTGGAATGCGGTCCGTCCTGAGGGACATCCATCCCCTGGAGCTTGTAGCAGGTGGTGGGGGTGGGAGGAAGTGAGCAGGAGATTGTTAGAGACTCTGGAGATGCCACCCAAGTGCAGCGGACAAGCCTGTTTAGATCTTGATTCGAACGAGCCAACTGTCAAAAGCCACCGTTGAGACGCTCTGAACATTTCATAACCTCCAGAAGCCAGTGCTCATTTTGTTAGGTGGTAATGGTATTGTAATTAGGTTCAAGGGAGAGAAGCCCTCATCTGTCAGAGATGCACTGTGAAGTATTTACAGGTGGAGTGAAACGATGGCTGAGATTTGCTTTAAAATCTTCAGGAAAAAAGAAGTGCGTGGGAGAGAATGGAAGAAACAAGATTGGCAAAATGCTGATGGTGTTTTGAAGCTGGGTGATGGGCACATGGGCTTTGTTATACCAGTTCCTGAATTTTCCCACCAAAAAGCATATAAAGTATACTTAAATTTTTTATTTTATGTGCATTGGTGTTTTTGCCTGCATGTATGTCTGTGTGAGGGTGTCAGATCTTGAAGTTACAGACAGTTATGAGCTGCCATGTGGGTGCTGGGAATTGAACCCAGATCCTTTGGAAGAACAGCTAGTGCTCTTAATGCATGGAGCCATCCCTCCAGCCCCATAAAGTTTTTAAGTTCTCTAGTTTGTTGAGGTGTGGGACATGGTGTCACCACACATAGCACCTGAGCACTTCAAGGGGTGATGGAAAAGTAATTGATGGGGTCATGTGTGGGCCCAGCCTGATCCACATAGAGACTGTGAACTGGGGCTCAGACTGAACTAGGAAACCCTTAGGTAGTTCAGTTGCTTCCTGCTACCTCAGGCTGAGCCTCCACTTCCTGCCTGTCAAATGGGAACCACTGCAGTTGCTTCCAGCAGGGTTGATAGAAACATTAAATAAAATGGGGTCTGGGGAGCTGGCTCAGCAGGTTGAGAACCCTGCTCTGAAAACATGAGAACCTGGGTTAGTGCCCATGTATAAAGCCAAACATGGCTGTGAGCCTCTGAATCCCAGCATTGGGAGGATCCCAAGAGCTTGCTGGTCAGTCAGCCTAGCTCTTCCTCGAGACAGTAAGGTGGAAAGAGATGGAGGAAGCTATCCAACATGTTGTCTGGCTTCCACATGTGTGCATGTGAGCATTTCTCTCTCTCTCTCTCTCTCTCTCTCTCTCTCTCTCACACACACACACACACACACACACACACACAGTATCTACCCAGTACCTTTGGAGGCATGGTGGGCTAAGGGCTATCAGGACTGGGGATTCGTGTTTG